TTAGCCCTTTTTAACTTTGAATCACATGGATGTAAAAGGGTCAATTAGACAAAGATGGAAGGTTAAAATAGAGTGGCAATTTCATAATAAATTAGAAAGCATCTGAGGGACGAGTGGGAAATAAGGATAGCTTTGTACTTATTATGGGAATAATAATTCCCCCTGACCTGAGAAGGATAATATGGCATATCTAAATGGAGATATAGAACACATGGATTTCACTGCCCATTTCCTTTCAACTTTGTGTTAAGTCCAATTTATAATGTATTTTAATAAAGAAATAAAGAACAGAAAAATATGATCCTCTCCTGTTCCCCTTGCAAATTTCTCCGGGCCTTTCTCTTGCTGGGGCATAATCTGCCCCACTACAGAAGAGACCAACCAGCTAACCCTGCAGATCCTTTGCAAGTCTAGATATCCAGAAGTCTAGGGCCATCTCTGACTATGCTGTGGCACTGTGTCCCTGGCAGTAATGCTACAGTGGAGCCACAATACCAGGGATTCCTCTGGCTGTGAATACCACAAGGTGAATCCCAAAGCAGAAGGTTCTCATGGAAAAGACAATTCAGCCCTGGTATGTGTTAACTTTTTCCCTGTCAGCTCCTGGTGGCTGGAAAGAGGATGATGTGTGTGTCCCCATTCTTATTATAATTTATTATCATTTTGACCTGCCTACTCCTGCCCCAATTTGTCTTCTTCCCAAGGGCGGACATCCAAACCACCAGAGAGGTCTCCAAGAAGCCTGGATTAAGTTGAGTTGTAGAGGCTACCTCTTACACAGGAGGGAAGCGGTGTATGCTTGGTGGATCCTCTCCATGCACAGCTCAGAGGCACACTCCCTCCCTGAGATTTATTGTACAATGTATGCCTAGCCTGTGGCTAGGCTATAGACTTCCTGCGACGTCTTGGGCAAATCACTGACCTTTACTGTGCCTATATTTTCTCATCTATAAAATGGCACATTTGGGAAGGAAGGAGATGACTAAAACAGAAATGAAATACCCACAGGCCAGATTTGCATACTTGGATGACTAAAGCTAGGCATCTAAATCCATATTTAGGCCCATAAATAAAAGTGATCTGATCTTCAGAGGGGATGAGCATATGCAGCTCCCACTTAAGACAATGAAAGATGCTGGTGCTCACCAGCTCTGAAAATCAGAACATTTTATTTAAGGGACCTATTATGGAATTTGGCATCTGATCCAACTCCCACTCAAGTAAGTGGAAAGACTCCTCCTATTGATTTAACTAGGAGTTGGATCAGGCCCTAAGCCCTTAACTTTAGGGAGTCACATTTGAAATTTTGGCCTAAACCATCCATAGAATCTTTTCTTAGTCATAAAAATACTTTGTGCATGCTTCTGTAGAGAAAAAAAATCCCTCTGTTCCTCCCAACCTGTTCTTTCTGAATAGGAATCGTGACTGGCCTGTTGATGACGCTCTAGCTGGCATGATTTAAAAAGAAATAAAGGACTTCCACTGTCAAAGAAAATAACTGACAGTATTTGTTAATCAATTGACATATTTGTGTATAATCATTGGCTTGAAATGTGGATAAAGAAAACGAGTCAAAACAAACAAAATTATTAAATGGAGAAATAGGGCCTCACAGAATATACTTACTGTTGTAATTCACTGCTGTAATTTGGTCAAGGAGACTGTAACTCCCTGACTATTTTATCTGCAAGTACTGGAGCCAGGAGCCATACTGCGGTGTTTCAGAGCAAGCTGACAATTGTAGTTACACTTTAGTGGCAGTAAAAATTGGTTCTGAAAGTCAAAAATGTAATTCACTTCCACATTGGTACCAGTCTAAATGTGTGCACCACACTGAGATATTGGGAATCAGTTATTAACAGTTAGTGGGAAGGGGTAGTGTTCATACCATTGTTTTATTAATTTTGAAAAAATGAAATAAGGTCAATACTTCTTCTTTGCATATGTGCAACATGCCTCAAGTAGGACATGACCAGGATTCATCACCAAATTTGCTCTGGTTGTTGGATCATTAGCTTCCCTGACCCAGGTTGGGTACTGATTTGGAGTGCAACATGAATTCCGATCCATGCCTCCAATAAGGTCACTTGCAGCAGTTGTTTGGTTGTATAAGGATTGCATGTTTTATGCATAGAATTGAATACTGCTAAGTATTGTAAACTGTCGTATCTTTGCTAAAAGTAAACCATGTTATTGTTTCCTAAAGTCAGCAATTATTCGTTAGTGTTCAAATGTGTGTGCTTTGATCTTTTTGCAAGATTTTTTCTTTTAAATAAAAAGGAATATTCTGTGTTTTGGGGGAGGCGGGGGAAGACAGGTATCTTTTCTGATCAGATGGCTAGTGATGATTACAAATTTCGCTAGTCTCCTCAGTAACTTTGATAAAGTTGGTAATTATCCTGTAAAATTATCTAGCATTAGAACTGGCAAGCAATTTACCAATTGTAGGCAAAAGCTATTGTTAAGGATAGAGTGGGACTTCCCATATAATGCTCTGTATTCAGTCTCTCAACTTTCTGGAAAAAAAAATCTTTTTGATGAAATTGTTCATGCTTGATCTCAGACCAAAGATTATATTTTTGGAAGGTTTGAGCAAAATCTATTGATCAATTTTTGTTATATGGGCAAGAAAATATATATACTACTTCTCCAACTATACATACAATATGATGGGGGCTAATTTAGCTACAACGAGTCAGGAAAAAGATCTTGGAGTCATCGTGGATAGTTCTCTGAAGATGTCAACGCAGTGTGCAGAGGCGGTCAAAAAAGCAAACAGGATGTTAGGAATCATTAAAAAGGGGATAGAGAATAAGACTGAGAATATATTATTGCCCTTATATAAATCAATGGTACACCCACATCTCGAATACTGCGTACAGATGTGGTCGCCTCATCTCAAAAAAGATATACTGGCACTAGAAAAGGTTCAGAAAAGGGCAATGAGGAGAGATTAAAGAGGCTAGAACTCTTCAGCTTGGAAAAGAGGAGACTAGGGGGGGATATAATAGAGGTATATAAAATCATGAGTGATGTGGAGAAAATGGATAAGGAAAAGTTATTTACTTATTCCCATAATACAAGAACTAGGGGTCACCAAATGAAATTAATAGGTAGCAGGTTTAAAACAAATAAAAGGAAGTTCTTCTTCACGCAGTACACAGTCAACTTGTGGAACTCCTTACCTGAGGAGGTTGTGAAGGCTAGGACTATAACAGCATTTAAAAGAGAACTGGATAAATTCATGGTGGTTAAGTCCATTAATGGCTATTAGCCAGGATAGGTAAGGAATGGTGTCCCTAGCCTCTGTTTGTCAGAGGATGGAGATGAATGGCAGGAGAGGGATTACTTGGTCGTTGCCTGTTAGGTTCCACCACCATGTGT